ATTTAAGAATTTTCTTTCAACTTGTACACATTTTAAACATATAACTGACAATTGAGGCATTCTGTATGAATACATGCTGGTATCAGTACCAATATTTGGCACCTTTAAATATTTTGTAATATTTWTTATAAAATATTGTTATTGCTATTTGAGTTTATAGTTTCCACAGTGCTGCTGTTGCTTGGAAACATTATTTTCTTTAAAACCTGTTATGTTTTTTATGTAATAGGATCAACCTGACAAATCTAGATGGACATTAATGACTCATTCTTTGTCATGTTGAACCTGACAGGTTAAAAGGGGCATTTCTTTTGGTGTAAAAATCCCCCCAAAGTTCTAGCTGCTCAAAATTCACCTGATGTTTCCAGACGTCTTGTGACGATTCACCGCTCCTCTCGCGCTGCCGGGAGGCCAGAAGAGCCTCCTCTAAAGCCTGCGGAGAACAAGGTGGACGCTGTCGTTAGAGCCCTTTAACATGTGGGCGAGCTGGCGTGAGKTCAAAGGTCACAGCGGCGGCTTCCTCACCTTGTTGAGTCGTCGGATCTCTTCCTGCTGATGCCTCCCCCTGCGGGCCAGGGCTCTGTTCTGAGCTCGCAGCTCATCGGCTCCGTCTTCTCTAGTCTGCAGGGAAAAGTTCAAATGATGAGCTCGGGAATTCGTTTTGTTTTTTTTTTAAATCTGTGTAAATGTCGAAAACTTTCATCACCTGTCGGTCTGTTTTGACGTTTTCCTCTCCTTCAAAGAACACCACGCGCCTCTCTTCTTTGTCGCTTTTCTCCTCGTCGGAGGGATTGTTGTGTCGTGACACTTTCGAAAGTTTGACCTGATCGTCGGGGGAAAATTGAGATGCTGAAATGAGGCGGAAGTGAAAAACAAAACAAAAAAAAAAAAAAAAAAGAAAAGAAAAAAAAGAGGTGAGATTTGAATAACTAAAGCAGTGGGAAAATCTCACCTTCTCTCTGTAGAACTGCTCCATTGTTCTGTACTCTTTGGCCCATTTCTTATTGATGGCGAGAAGCTGAGGGAAACAGAAACATCAAAAATATTGTAAGCACTGAAACCACACACACAACGTTTGTTTTTCTATCTTTATTAGGACCGTTCATTAACTTCCACTCATTTACATTAATTTCTGTTYGCATCATAGTGCTAAACCTAACGCCCAACTTTAAAATGGTGTTCCACCATATTAGAACAGGTCTTTGGTCCCCAGAAGGACTACTAGTCTTATACCAGAAACGTTCCTAAAAAAAACTATCAAACACACACACACACACACACACACACACACACACACACACACACACACACACACACACACACACACACACACACACACACACACACACACACACACACACACACACACACACACACACACACACACACACGTGTTGCTGAGGTCTGAACTGTGCTCACCTCTTTATTCTGCTCCTCCAAGACAAAAATCTCTGCTTTCGTTCGCTCATAGGTGCTGATGGGCTCTTCTGACTAAACACACACACAGACACACACACATAAAGAGGAAGAGTTAAAAAGCACCCARAAGCTGCTAAAAGTCTGTGACTCTTCATGCAATATGACCACTGACTTCCTTTTTACACATTTCTGGAAGTTTTGTTATTGTGGTTACAGAGAAGGCTGCTTTTCTGAGCTCATGAAATGGAAAAGCGTTTCCCAAATGAAACAGTAATATTTATATATATATATATGTATATATATATGTAAAACTTCACCAACCTGTGTGTCTGCCGGTAAATACCGAGGAGGAGACTCCGATTTTTTGGTGTGAAGTTTTTCTCCGGCAAAACCAAGCGGCAAGCAAACCTCAAACCTGAAAAAAATAAAATAAAATAAAAACATCATTTAGATCTCAAATGAGGACAGTCTACATGAATGATCAAAGCACAGCAGCAGGGTGGAAGATGAGGTGTTTTACCTGTTGGTGCTGGGCAGCGATGGGTACAACCTGCTGACTCGTTTGTGGTCTGTGGACTGGGTCACAGCTGGACTCTCCATCAGGGTTTTCTGTGCAGACTGTCAGAACACAGAGGACAAACTTCCCTCAGTAAATCACCGCTGCAGAAAAAACTGTCAGCKGTTCAGAAATTCTGACTATCACCCACATAATCCTCAGCTTTGTTTTCTTGACTTCTTTTCTCCATTCCATTTCCTCAAATATTTTGATAAAAACGGATTATAAAAACACCCCCAAAATACCAAAAAAAAAAAAAAAAAAAAACACTGGGGAGAAGTTAAGAGTCAGCGTAAAATAAAATGAACAAAAACTTAACAGCATTTATTTGTTTACAGTAAGAAAAAAAAGCCTGAATTGGTGCCAGAATGTGAAATTTGTGTGAAGAAAATTAAATATTTGAATGATATTTGTGCTGTTTTTATCTACATGAAGCGAGTCATTAAATGTTCCACCAGATTCATGGAGGCGTGCCTGAAGTGGTAAAAACGTGACTGCGAATTCATCCCCATGTGTGATCTCACCTCCGCACCACGTTTACATCGAGACACACATTCTGAGTGCTCAGATGTTTCTGTTTGAACATTAAGAGAAATAATAAACTTTTTAAAGTTTTTAGATTGGAAAAATTAGCATCGCAGTTTGTGGTTTTTTTTTGTTATGGCAGAGGGTGATCTTGTGTTTTTGTGTTTTCTTTGACTGTTAGCATACAATGTCCTGATGCATCTC